GACTATATCATTGAAGGTAATAAATTGGAGCATGTCGATGTTTTCTGTGATTTAGGTGTATATTTTGACAGGTCTCTAAGTTATTCACAGCATGTGGATGATGTTGTCAATAAATGTAATAAGCGTCTAGGTTTCATAACCAGAATTACTAAAGAGTTCTCTTATACGCGACCAATCATTATATTATATGTTAGTTTCATACGATCGTTGCTTGATTATGGGTCAGTCATATGGACACCTAATTATAAGACTGCTAAAAAGCGATTAGAACGCTTGCAAATGAAAATAATAAAAACCCTAGCGTACAAATCGAACATAGATTACAACAACAGCGATTACGTAAAACTTTTAGAATATTTTGGTTTACCTGAGATAGAAACACGACACAAATATCTTGATATATGCTTTGCCTTTAATCTATTAAACAATCATATTGACTGCCCCAGTATATTGGAACAATTTTATCTACACGTGCCAAGCTATTCGGTAAGACATAATGACTTATTCTATGTCTCAAACCATCGAACAAATTATGGGGTTCATTTTTCTATTAGCAGATTATGCAAACTATTAAATGAGTATCCCTGTCTAGATCTTTTTAATGTACCACCTAAATGTTTTAAAGCAAATGTGAAGTCCATCCTGAGCTGGTAAATTATTTGTAATTTATTTGTTTTTTGTTTTTTGTTTTTGACGAAGTGGTGTATTTACTAAAGTGTACAATGTATATATAATGTATGTATGTATGTATGTTCATCTTTTTTGACTTGTACAAGGATATAATTCCGTAAATATATGTATTATTATTATTATTATTATTAAAATTCAAAAATTCTAAATATTCTAAATATTCCCAAGATCGTGAAAAGCCTAAACGAACTCAGCAGACCTTAAAAAGACCTTGAAGATAATAACGATCCTAGACTTCCTAGAGATTATAAAGCTAATGACGACATCAACAACCCTAAAGATCTTAAAGATCTAAAAGATATAAAAAATCACAAAGACTCTAAACATCAATAGATAAAAGGAATATAGATATTTCAAAGATTTTAAAATTATAAATATATTAATAGTTTCGAAAATTCTGAAGCTCAGAGATTCTAAGATCCTAAAAACTCTAAAAATTTTTAGATCGCAAATAACATGATTACATGAATTATTCTAAAGGGACAAAAAATCCTAAACATTGCAAACTCATCACTAAGAAATTCCTAAAAACCCTAGAAACACATTAAAGGTCTTAAAAGTATAAAAGACTCCAGAATTCCTAAAAGTTCGACAGATTCTAGAGATTCTTGAGATTTTAAAGATTTTAAAGATTCGAAAAATTCAGGAGATTCCAGAGATAAAAAAAAATTCAGAGATTTTAGAGATTCCAAAGAATATGGAATTTCTAGAGATACATAGATTCAATATATTTTAGGAATTATAAAACTTCTAGAGACTCTATAGACTCTAGAGGTACCAGTGATTCTAGATTGATTCTAGAGATTCTACATATTTTACGGATTATAAAGTTTCTAGAGTTCCCGGCAGTTCTAGACATTCTAGAGATTGAAGTTGTAAAAACTTTAGAGATTCAAAGATTTCAAGAAATTTCAGACATTCCAGCGATTTCTGGGATTCCTAAACTTTCTATAGATTCTAAAGATTCTAGAGTTTCTAAGTGATACTAAAGATTCTAGAATCTACTGATTCCAGAAGTTTTATATACTTTAGAGAGCTACTAGAGATTTCGGAGAACTTTCTAGAAATTCTTGGAAATCTAGAGAATCTAGAGATTCCAAAGAATCCAGAGATTTTAAACAGATTAAAGTTCCTAAATTTTCTAAAAATCTAATGATTGTAGACGTTGTATGTACTTTAGGGACTACAAAGCTTTTAAAGTTTTAGCAGTTCTAGTGATACTAACAATTCTAGAGAATATAAAGATTCTGGTGACTCGAAAATCTCAAGAGGTTGAAGAAATTCAAGAATTCCAAGAGATTCAGGAATTTCTACAAATTTTGGAAATTTTAGGGATTATAGATATTTCATACATTTTAAAGATTCTAGAAATTCTAGAAGTACTAAAATTCTAGAAATCTACTGATTCAAGAGATTGTACGTATTTTAGGAATTATAAAGCTTCTTGAGAATCTATAAATTCTAAAGTTTGTAGATGTTCAAGATACTCCAGAGATTACAGAAGTTCAATCTAGTGACTGTAGAGATTTTATATATTTTAGTTATTAATGTTATTATAAAGTTTCTAAAAATTTCGAAGATCCTAGAGTTTTGAGATCTCTTGGATCTCCAAAATTTTTAGATGCACTAAATATTAAAATCTTTAATATCTCACACTATGTTCTATAAATCTAGTGATTTTAGAAGTTCTATATATTTTACTTATTAATGTTATCATAAAGCTTCTAGGAATTCCGGAGTTCCTAGAGATTATATAAATTTAAAAGATTTAATAGATTTCAGAGAATCCAGATATTCGAAAAATTTCAAGAGGTTCTAGAAATTATAAAGATTTTAGAGATTTTAAAGATACTAAATAATTTAAAAACTCTAGAAGTCTAATAATTGTAAAGATCCTATATATTTTAGGAATTATAAAGTTTCTAAAGAATTTCGACATTCTACGGATTCAAGAGGTTCAAAAACTTTCAGAGATTCCAGAAATTCTACAGACTTTTGAGATTTTAGAAATACTAAAGATACTAAAAATAAGATGTTGATTCTAATTATCGTAACGATCGCAAACATTTGTAAAATTCAAAAATTTTAAAGTTTATAAATATCTCCAAGACCGTGAAAAGCCTAAGGTGCTCAACAAGTCTTAAAAAGGTCTTGAAGATAAAAACGATCTTAGACGTCTTAGAAATTATAAAGGTATTGACGACATCAATAACCCTAAAGATCAAAGACGTAAAAGATCACAAAGACCCTTAACATCAAAAGATAAACGGATTATAAGCAGTTCAACGTTTTTAAAAAGTTTAACTATGTTTAATAATAAGATTATAAAGCTCAAACATTCTAAAATCCCAAAAACTCAAAAAGTTTTTAGGATCTCGAAGAACATGAATTATTCTTAAGGGACAAAAAGAGAGAAAAAATCCTAAACTTTGTAAAATCATCACTTAGCGAATTCGTTGAGTTCCGGAAAATCATACAGATCATAAAAATTCTACAGAATCTAGAGATTCTTGAGATTCTAACCATTCAACAGATTCCAGAGATAAAAGAATTGAAGAGATTTCAGAGATTTCAAATATTATAGAACTTCTAGAGATACTGTAGAGATTCCATATATTTTAGGAAATAGAGAATGTAGATTCTAGCGTTTCCAGAGATTCTCGAGATTTTAAAGATTCTAGCGATTCTACGGATTCAAGAGATTCAAAAGATTCCAGAAATTTCAGGAATTCTAGAGATTCTAGATATTTTAAAGATTATAGAAACCTAGTGATTCTAGAGATTCTATATATTTTAGAGATTAAAAAAGTTTCTAGAGTTCCAGGAATTTCAAGAGAATCTAGAGATTCAAGAATTTCAAGAGATTTCAGAAATTGCAGCGATTCCAGAGATTTCGGGGATTCTCGAATTTCTAAGAGATACTAAAAATTCTATAATCTACTGATTCCAGAGGATCCAGATACTTTAGAGTTTATAGAGCTACTAGAGATTTCCGAGAACCTAAACTTTCTAGACATCTTAGGAATTCCCAAGAATACAGAGATTTTAGACAGATTAAGGACCCTAAAAATTCTAGAAATGTAATAATTCTAGACGTTATATATATTTTAGGGATTACAAAGCTTCTAAAGGTTTTAGGAATTCTACTGCAACTAACGATTCTAGAGATTATAAAGATTTTGGAGATTCGGAAAATTCAAGAGGTTGAAGAAGTTACAAAATTTCCAGAGATTTTGGAAATTTTAGAGATGATAGGCATTCCATAGATTTTAAAGATCCTAGTGGTTCTAGAGGTACTAAAAACTCTAGAAATTATCAGAATTAAGAGGTTCTACGTATTTTATGGACTATAAAGCTTCTAGAGATTCCGGAAAACTTAGGGAATCTAGAGATTCTGTAAATTCTATAGTTTGTAGATATTCAAGATATTCCAGAGATTTCAAAAATTCAATAGATTGCAGAGACACTGGGTACACTAAAGATTAGAATCTTTAGTATCTCTCACTAGGTTCTAGGAATCTAGTGATTCTAGAGATTCTAGATGTTTTAGTTATTAATGTTATTATGAAGTTTCTAGAAATTCCGGCGATCCAAGAAATTCTAGAAATTGAAGAAATTGAAAAGGTTCCAGGAAACCCAGATATTCCAAAAATTCCAGAGGTACCCGAGATTAAAAAAAATCTAAAAATACTAGAAATCTAATGATTCTATAGATCCTATATATTTTAGGAATTATAAAGTTTCTAAAAATTTTCGGGATGCTAGAAATTCCACACATTCCACAAATTCTAAAGATACCAAATATTAAAGAAATTTCAAATGTTTCAGAGATGCCAGAGACTCTTGTTGACTCTAGAGATACAATATATATGTATATTTTAGGAATTATTAAACTTCTAGGACTCTGTAGCCTCTAGAGATTCAAGAGGTACTACAGATTCTAGAAATCTACTAATTCAAGGGATTCTACGTATTTTAGTGCTAAAACTTGTAGTGTTTCTAATCTTCTATGTAATTGAACAATTACCGCTAAATTCATGTCTTACAGTTTTTCTTTAATTTTTTCTGTTTTTTTTTTTTTAAGTTTAGTTATTTATACTATTCAGTTCATTTTTATTTCAAATACATTATTCTTAAGAAATTTATGTTTTTTATCTTCCCCATCGTCACCTCCTCTATATTTCCATAAAAATTTTTTTTTCGTGTTTTCTTTTCGACTTCCTTTCTCCCAAATTTTTCGCCGCCTTAAAATGGTGGTAATCTTCTCTTATAACTTCAATGTATAAGGTATTTAAAGAAAAATTTAGAGGTTCCTAAACACTTTCGAGTTTGCTTTATTCATATTTCTTTTTCTACACATTTCATTACAATACAGCAATTTTCAAAATTTTTATAGTACTGGAAAATGAAAATACCCCAAAAAAATAACTCTTCAACATTTATTTCCCCAGCTACAAAAACACCTCATCATTTGAAACAGAATATCTTTCACAAGAACCCAAAGCTGAGAATTGGTGAAATCATCAGTTGTAAGTAAATAAGTAATATAGTCAGTGGATTCGTCTTATCTTTTCAACATTCCCATAATCCCAACGTCATCATTGATCCTAGCCAATTCACTTATTGTCACCCCCACTTTATTCCGAACATCCACATCAATTCCTTCACTTATCAACAATTTTATGATATCTCGATTAGATCTCCATGATTCAGACGCATAAAACAAAGCGTTACTGTCTTCCTCATCCAAAACATTCACCAAACCTTTGTTCCCTATCAACATTTTCGCAACCTTAAAATTGCCATTCCTGCAAGCAAAATGCAACGCCGTTGACCCATTTTTATTCCCAGCATTCACATCAACACCTTCCTTAACCAACAAACTTGCCAATTCTTCATTATCACCTTCCGCCGCTGACGCATAATGCAGAAGCGTATTCTTGTCATTGTCCAAAACATTCACTGAAGCAGACCTCTCCAACAGAATTTCTGCAACTTCTAAATCACCATTTTCACAAGCTAGATGAAGAGCCGGAGCTCCATTTTTGTTAGGAACATCTATATCTATCCCTTTTCTGAGTAATAGTTTTATCAGATCTCGATTGCTTTCCCACGATTCAGATGCATAAAGCAGTCCATTCTTGTCATTCTTGTCCAAAACATTGATAGAAGCATTATTTTCCAACAGCTTTTCGGTAACTTCGTAGTCACCATTTTCGCAAGCAAAGTGGAGTGCTGTCTTTAGATTTCCGTTTCGAGCGTTGATGTCAATACCATTGTCAATCAAAAATTTTGCTACATTTCTGTTGTTCCAGAATAGGGCTACATGGAGTGGGTTGTTTTGGCCTTCGTCGACAAAATTGATCAAAGCGTTGTTCTCCAACAGGAGTTTCACATTGTCAACGTTGCCTCCTAAGCAAGCATAGTGAAGTGGGGTCAGTCCAGTTGAATTTGGTGTGTTGACATTGAAACCTTTATCAAGCAACAATTTCAGGACTTTTATATTCTTCGTCGACGATGTTGATGCATAATGTAAGGCATTGTTATCGTCTTTGTCCAAAGTGTTGACCAAAGCTCTATGTTCTAATAGCACTTCTGTGGTTTTAAAATCGCCATTCTCACAACAAAGTTGCAAGGGTGTTCTTCCATACGTATTTCGAACATTGACATAGATTCCATTGTCAATCAATAATTTTATTATATCTTTATCCACTTTCGTCGTTTCAGTGGCATTATTGTCTACAACATTCGTCTGTGGAAAGAAGTCTTTAAACTCAGATTTCGTGTTTTTGGGGCGCTCGCCTCTATAGTCCCTCAGTACATAATACAACGCATTGTTGTTATTATCGTCAACACTGTTAACGTCGGCATTTTTTTCCAAAAGTATCTTCGTCATTTCAAATGATCTATGCATGCAAGAAACATGTAAAGCAGTCAAGCTTTCGTCGTTCTTTAAATTGAGATCTACTGTTCTAACACTTCTTAGTAAATTCAAGATTCTAGGATCGTCTTTGATATCTAATTTTGACAATAGATGCCATACAGTATCACCTCCACCCAATCTGGCACCATTTTCCACCAACACATCCAACATGTCATATTTGCCTTCTGTGCAAGCTATGTACAAAATATTGTCAGAATCATCGACGGATTCATCGTCATTTATTGCCAATCCGTTTGACAACAATGTCTTGACAATTGCAATATTGTCCTCTCTTGGTGCTAGGGTTACATCTCGTGTTCCTTTAACCGCTGCTTCTAACAACTGATTTAGAGTTGTTTCTTCACGTAGTAGTGGTGTGTTGTCAATAAGTTCAGAAAATAGATGACGAAAACCCATTTGTGCAGCGTAATGAGACACTACGTGGCGGCTATAAACTTCAAACACTCTTTCTTCTAAGTCTTGAAAAGTTAGAAGTTTGTTTCGTAAAATAATTTCAATGGGATACAAATTTGTCGCTTCTAGACAATAATTGACACAGTCAAAACCAAATAGATTGTCTTTGTCATTGACGTTGGTGTTGTCTCGGATGAGCGCTCCTACCATTGTCACGTACCAACTAGGCTCCTGATGAAGTCTCGGTACAACAGAAAAAGTACTTTGGGAGGAATATTTCGTTCCATAGGTACACACCAGATGCAACGCCCTTCTACCACCTTCGTCTTCGTCATCTATTTCGTCCAAATACTCCATAAATTGATCTTCGTTCTTGTAAATGATAGATAAATGTAACGGGTTGTTTGCTGCCAACATCACGTCTAACATGACCCTCAAGTTGTCATACCTTGGAGAAAACATCCTCCTTCCAAACCAACCAATTTTACTCTTGTTGCGTCTAAACCAAACACATGCAAAATATTCCGCGTACGTCTGGTGGTCAAAAACCGCCTCTCCGCTTTCACCGATTTGCTTGATAATCCCGTATTTATCCCCATTGTGTTTGATTTCGTCTAGAAAGTCTTCTGTTTCGTCTGACGATACACCAAGTTCGTCAAAATCTACGGCATCCAAACAAGCTTTCAAAGCTGGGACTTCGTACTGCTTGAGAAAAATTTTGACCATACCAAGTTGGTGCTTCTGGTTGCCAGAGACGACCTTACAGATGGTCGATTCCAGCTTGCCTTCAAAAAAGAGTTGATACATTTGTGTCAACACGAAGATGTTCCTCTGTCTGATGTTGTTGTAGGCTTGGTCACTAGTGAGGAACATTTCGGTGATTATGTGGAGCTGTAGCGGAATTCCTAGCAGTTGTTGACTGTTGTTGAGGTCGGTACTAGCAAAAATCGAGGTGACGATGGTCTCGATTTCGTCGATTTGGTACTTGTTTTGGAGTTTCTCGTGGATGTATTGTCGTTGTTGGTGGTGGTTTAGTTCTTGAATTTCTATTGGTACTACGTTGAGGGTTTGAGATATAGTACCACGCAGGTTCTCTCTTGACGAAATCCACACGTTGATGCGACTTGATGCTTTCGTGACGAAGTTTAACACGTGGTTTAGGTAACTATTGTCAACTTCGTCTAGTCCGTCGAGAAACAGATACATTTTTTTATTTTTCCATAGAATGGTTTTGAAATCTTTGTCGTCGTCGTGTAGTAAGTACTCTCTGATTAGTTCGAAGTCGGGTTCCGGTAGCAAAAACGAGTTCCAGTTTATCAAGTCGGTGTAAATTGCCCAAGAATCACGCGGACAGTTCTGGTATAGAATTTTCATTAAAGTCGACTTGCCCATTCCAGGAGGGGCACACAGTACATTGAGTGGATTATCAAACCGGTTCAGAATGTCCATTTCTGCTACTAGTTTCGACATATCTGTATCTTCCGAGTAAAATTCAGACCCCTTTTTCAGAAGCAAAACACAATCGTCGTCGTCAAACACTTGGAAAAGATACACGTTCGATTTACCAGACGCTTCACAAACTTTGGTGAATTGAGAATGCGTACACTTTTTTCTTCGTGACAATAAAACCACGTTTTCACTTCCGGTATATTTTCCAGTTAAGTAGTCTGAAATTTCGGTAACATCGTTCCTCTGTGGTAATCTGTCTTTAAATTTTTCGTCACAGTTAATAATGACCATGGTTTGACTTCTTCGTGAATCGTAGAAAGTCAAGATTTCTTCTAGTTTGACAAAAACGCTAGACACGCTTCTTGGTATATGTAAATGCGGGGTTTCTTCCTTTCTGCCACCGATTTCTAATTTTGACTGAGACATCGTCAATAGTTTGTCCACTCGAAAGTGCTTGGCGATTTTGGGGTCAATTTCGACAAGCTGGGTCAAGCAAATGGGGTCTCTTCCTTGTAACGAAACCTCAAAAGTGTCCAAAATATCCTCACAGAAGGGTTCGTCGGCAAAATTTTTGATAACGTCAAAGAGACTTGCAAAAATGTTGATTTCTGGGAAATCGTCTAGTGCGACGTCACCCACTAGAACTACTTTCTTAGTATCGGTGGCTTGGTTCATCAGATTGACAATATTCAAGACGATGGGTTTGTTCGAAGCGTCTACTTTAGTAACAAGAGGGACTTTATTGAGATACCATAGAATTTTACCTTGTTCGGTTGTCTTTAACCCAAACTTTCGTCTAGCCTTGTCATAGTCTTTATCTTTAGTTTCTACAGTCGTCCAAATGTTGTTGACGATGTCTTCGTCCGTGGTGACAATCGTCACCTGAAACCTCATAATTGCCTGTTCAAGATCCTCACTTTTGGCATTTCGTTTCGTGTCACTTAGATCTTTCAAGTAAGGTGAAAGAGTCAATTCAACCAACTTCCCAATGACGTCGTCTCTACTTAAGACAAAATTTAAAGACCACCACTCGCTCATGAAGTGAATAAAAGACCCATAGATGTTGCACTCGACAAGATCTCGTAGCATTTCCTCCACTTGTATTTTAGTATCAAATATATTGTTCTGTTCAGTGAAGAAGTAAAATTTTTTATTTAACTCGGTTGACTCGACTTCAAAAATGCATCGTCGATCAATGTGTTTCGAATTTAGCAACAACTCCTCACACTCTAGGAAAGCACACTTCGTAATATTGGTGGTCGCTGATAGTTGGGCCCTCTCTTCTATGTATGTAGGGGAATTCGTGTATAGAATGCAAACAACGTCTTCTGTAGCGTCGATTTCTGACGACATAGAGTTGAAATATTTTTCGACGTCGAAATCGCCTTTCTGTTTTCCGGTGTATAGATGGTGCGTGCTGATGGGTTTTGCCGCTTCTTTGTGCTTGAGTTGGATGAGAAATTTGACTGATTTGGTGTTTCTGAAAGTCACTTGGAGTTCAACGTCGTCGAAAACTCCACAATTTTTGCTGTTTGTGGTCATTTTGAAGTTGACGATTTCGTCGCTTCGGATTAATTTTAAAGCGTAGAATGCGCACATCATCTGTTCGTATTCTTTTCCATGGTCTATGGCTCCAGGGAGTTTTTTGTATGTGGGAAATGGGTCGGTTTGCAGCTGAGAATGCGTTTTTCTCTTTTAATCAAAAACAAAATGTGTGAGTTATCTACTTACGAGTGTATTTCCAGCAAGGTTTAATTGGGCTTTATTACCAGTATTTTTTTGGTCATCTGGTGTAGTAGAGGAAATCTGGAAGTTAAAATTTAGACGTTTCTAAAACAACTATGTAAAGTAAGTATAAGTGAAAACTTTTACTTCTTGAGGTTGCAGTTTGACTGTTGATTTCTTGCGTAGAATTTTTTGTCGTCTTTCGTTTTTTCTTTGTTTGAGTTGTTTCTGCAGGGATTGAAGGTCTTCTTCCTCATCTAGAGTGTCTGATGAACTTGAATCCATGTTGAAGAGAAAAATTTCAAATTTCACTTGCCTTTTACCCAAAATTCAAAATACAAAACACGGAAAACACTTGGAAGTGGAACTTCAATTGATGGAGATCACAAGATAGATGCGTTAAACGTTTTTTTATTGCTAACTATTGACTCAAGCAATTTCCGGCGATAAGATAAGAGCAATCCGATATTGATAAAATATTTTAAAGGTGATTTACAAACGTTTTTGTCCTAACAATGGTCTAGAAGAGATAAAAAAGAATTTTTGCAGCCTTGATCCAATTCATTTTGTATTAAATATTATTTTCTAGCAATTTCTCTGTCTAAAGTTTGTGGAAAGAAATATCTAAAAATTTTCACAGAATTGTGTTTAATTTGTAAAGATAACGAAAAGATTAAATACAACGAAACAAAAATGATTGCAAAATACTTTTTTAATACACTCACGATAAAATTTGGTTTCCTTTTAAAACTTTGATTCAGAAAAACAAACTGTAAAAGAATTCTAAAAAATATACAGTGTCACTAAAAAAAGTGAATGTCGTAAACATAATTTCTCTACAATCTCCAGAATCTTCAGAATCTACAGAATGATTCTGGAATCTCTAGAACCTCTAGATTCTTGAGAACCTCTTGAATATCTACTATCTGTAATCTTTAGAATCTTTAGAACATTTAGAATCTCTGGAATCTCTATATTCTCTACAATCTCTGAAATCTCTTGAATATATAGAATCTCTAGAATCTCCAGAATTTCTGAAATCTCTGCAATTTCTGGAATCTCTACAATTTCTAGAATCTCTAGAATCTCTAGGATCCCCGAGTTTTTAGAAGCTTGATAAGCTCTAAAATATGTACAATTTCCAGAATCAATCAATCAAACTTTAGTATCTCTAAAATGTCTAGAATTTTTCGAAACTATAGAATGTCTAGAATCTATGGAATTTTTAGAATCTTTAGAAGCTTTATTGTCCCTAAAATATATATAACCTCTAAAATCATTAGATTTCTAGAATCTTTAGAACATATAGTATCTCTAAAATCTATAGAATCTTGGAATTTCTTGAATTTCTTCCATTTCTTAAACCTCTTGATTTTCTTAAATTTCCAAAAGCTCTAGAACCTTTAGAAGATTTATAAACCCTAAGATATATAGAAACTGTAGAGTCATTAGATTTCTCTCTAGATCCTATGCAATTCGTGCAATCTTTGAAATTTCTGGAATCTCTAGAATTTCTAGAATCTCTAGAATCTCTAGCGTCACTAGATCTCTATCGTTTCTAGAATCTCGGGAGTTTTTAGAAGTTTATAAGCTCTAAAATATATAGGATCTCTACTAGAATCAACACTTTTTACAAAACTTAATCCCTCTAGAATCTCTATACCCTTTAGAAATTGTAAACCGAGTCTTAGAATCTTCAGTATCTCTAAAATCTCTAGAATCTCCAAAATCTCTGGAATCCATAAAATGTGTCTGGAAACTCTAAAATCTCTAGACTCTTTCTGTGGAATTTTTTGAATTTGTGCAACTTTTCAAGTTTCTTCTTTCTAAAATCTTTAGAAATTTATAAACACTAAAATGTATAGAATTTGTAGAGGCATTATATTTATCGAACTTTAAGAATCGACGATCTCCGAGAAACTTTAGTACCTCTAGAATCTCCAGAATAGATTCTCTAAAATCTCTAGAATTTCTGCATTCTCTAGAATCTATAGAATCTCTAGATGCTTTATAATCCCTAAAAAAGATAGAAACTCTATAGTATCTCTATAATCTCTATTCTCTAGAATATCCGAAATCTTTTTGTGCAATTTCTGGAAAATCTGGAATTCTAGAATCTGTAGAATCTGTACCATTTTTGGAATCTCTTGTATCATTTTTTCTTGAATCTGTTTAACTAACCTATTGATTTTCTTCATAGCTCCCCCTTGGAATCTTTTGAATCTTTGCAATCTCTGGAATCTCTGGAATCTCTAAAAACTCTGGAATGTCTGGAATCTCTGGAATGTCTGGAATGTCTGGAATCTCTGGAATCTCTGGAATCTTCGAAATTTTTGGAATCTTTGGAATCATTGGAATCTTTGGAATCTTTGCAATCTCTGGAATCTGTGGAATCTCTGAAATCTCTGGAATCTCTGGAACATCGGGAATCTCTGGAATCTCTGGAATCTTCGGAATTTTTGGAATCTTTGGAAACTTTGGAATCTTTGGAATCTCTGGAATCTCTGGAATCTCTCGAAACTCTGGAATCTCTGAAATCTCTGGAATGTCTGGAATCTCTTGTATCTCTGGAATGTCTGGAATCTCTGGAATCATTGGAATCTCTGCAATCTCTGGAATCTCTGGAATCTCTGAAATTTCTGAAATCTCTGAAATCTCTGGAATCTTTGGAATCTTTGGAAAATTTGAAATCTTTGGAATCTTTAGAATCTATTGGAATCTTTGGAATCTTTAGAATCTTTGAATTTTTAGAATCTTTGGAATTTTTGGAGTCTTTAGGGTCTTTAGGATGTTTAACATCTTTAGGATTTTTAGGAGACTTAGAATTGTTAGGATATTTAGGACCCTTAGGATCCTTAGGATCTTTAAGATTTTAAGGATGTTTAGGTTCTTTAGGGTCCTTATTATCTTAATGATATTCAGAATCTTTAAGATCCTTAATATCTTTAGAAAATTTAAGAACTTTAGGATGTTTGAAAAAAGATAGAAACCCTATAGTATATCTATAATCTCTATTCTTTGGAATATCCGCAATCTTTTTGTGTAATTTCTGGAATATCTGGAATTCTAGAATCTGTAGAATCTGTACCATTTTTGGAATCTCTTGAATCTCTTGAATCTGTTCAACCTATTGATTTTCTCTAGAGCTCTGCAATAACTAAAATTTTAAGAAGCTTTATAAACTTTAAAATATATATAATCCCTAGAATTTTTGGAATCCTTGGAATGTTTGGAATCTCTGGAATCTCTGGAATCTCTCGAATCTCTGGAATGTTTGGAATCTCTGGGATATCTAGAATCTCTGGAATATCTGGAATCTCTGGAATCTTTGGAATCTTTAGATTATTTGAAATCTTTGGAATCTTTGGATTATTTGAAATCTTTGGAATCTTTGGAATCCTTGGAATCTTTGGAATCTTTAGAATCTTCGAATTTTTGGAATCTTTGAAATTTTTGAAATCTTTGGAATCTTTGCAATTTCTGGAAACTCTGGTATCTCCGGAAACTCTGGAAACTCTGGAATCTCTTGAATCTCTGGAATCTCTGGAATCCGTGAAATCTACTAAATCTCTGAAATCTCTGAAATTTCTGGAATCTTTGGAATCTTTGAAATATTTGAAATCCTTGGAATCTTTGGAATCTTTGGAATTTTTGGAATCTTTGGCATTTTTGCAATCTTTGGAATCTTTGAATTCTTGGAATCTTTCGAATTTTTAGAGTCTTTAGGGTCTTTAGGATGTTTAACATCTTCAGGATATTTAGGAGACTTAGGATTGTTAGGACATTTAGGACCTTTAAGATCCTTAGGATCTTTATGATTTTAAGGATCTTCAGGATCTTTAAGATCCTTAATATCTTTAGAAACTTTAAGAACTTTAGGATGTTTGGAAAAAGATAGAAACTCTCTAGTATCTCTATAATCTCTATTCTCTAGAATATCCGAAATCTTTTTGTGCAATTTCTGGAATATCTGGAATTCTAGAATCTGTAAAATCTGTACCATTTTTGGAATCTCTTGAATCATTTTAATCTCTTGAATCTGTTCAACCTATTGATTTTCTCTAGAGCTCTATAATAACTAGAATTTTAGGAAGTTTTATAAACCTTAAAATATATATAATCCCTAGATTTATTGGAATCTTTGGAATCTCTGGAATCTGTGGAATCTTTGGAATCTTTGGAGCCTTTGGAATCTTTGGGATCTTTGGAATCTTTGGAATCTTTGGAATATTTGAAATCTTTGTAATCTTTAGAATCTTTGAATTTTTGGAATCTTTGACATTTTTGGAGTCTTTAGAGTCTTCAGGATGTTTAACATCTTTAGGATTTTTAGGAGACTTAGGATTATTAGGACATTTAGTATATTTAAGATCCTTTAGATCTTTAGGACTTTTAAGATCTTTAGGTTTTTTAGGGTCCTTATTATCTTAAGGATCTTCAGAACCTTTAAGATCTTTAATATCTTTAGAAACTATAAGCACTTTAGGATGTTTGGAATCTTTGGGATCTTCAGGATCTTTAGGATCTTTAGGCTCTTTAGTACTTTTAGAATCTCTGGAACTCATGTAATTTCTATAATCCGGAAACCCTTGACTTTCTGGAATCTCTTGAATTTCTTGAATTTTTGAAATCTGCTGAATTCTTGAATCTCTCGCCTCTGTTGACTCGTTTGAGTCTCTCAATCGCTGTAATTTCTAGAATCTTTAGAATCTACGGAATCTTCGGAATCTTAGGAATCTTCGGAATCTTCGGAATCTTCGGAATCTTCGGAATCTTCGGAATCTTCAGAAACTTCAGAATTTTCGGAATCTTCGGATTCTTCGGAATCTTCGGAATCCATAAAATGTCTCTGAAAACTCTAAAATCTGTGGAATTTCTTGAGTTTGTTCAACCTTTCAAGTTTCTTCTTTCTAAAATCTTTAGAAAGTTTATAAACACTAAAATATATAGAATTTGTAGAGACATTATATTTATCGAAGTCTAAGAATCTAGAATTTCCAGAATAGATTCTCTAAAATATAGAATCTCTAGATGCTTTATAATCCCCAAAAAAGATAGAAACTCTATAGCATTTTTATAATCTCTATTTCCTAGAATATCCGAAATGTCTTTGTGCAAATTCTGGAATATCTGGAAGTCTAGAATCTGTAGAATCTGTAGCAATTTTGAAATCTCTAAAATCTGCATGTTCTCTGCAATTTTTAAATCTCTGGAATCTCTTGAATCATTTGAATCTCTTGAATCTCTTGAATTTCTTGAATCTGCTCAACCTCTTGATTTTTTCCAGACCTCTAGAATATCTAGAATTTTTGGAATCTTTGAAATTTCGGGAATCTCTGGAATCTCTGGAACCTCTGGAATTTCTTGAATTTC